GAGGCAAGCCGCAGCCACGCGTCGGCACGGCCGGCCGACCGTTGGCCTTCGCTCACGCGCGCGCCATCTTGTGTGCAGAGGTCGACAGCTACGCGCCGCCGTTCGGCGCCGCGGCGGGCGAGCGTCCGTGCGTGGACAGGATGCGTGATTTGGTCGTCGGGGGGCGCCGACGCCCCGACATCCCGCCGGGATGGACGAGGCATCAGGTAACGGCCGGCGCGTTTCTCGTGCCGACGTGCGAGTGCGCTAACGCGCCTCTCCCGCAGGGGATGAGCACCTACTGCGAGACGGTCACGGAGTGCTGGGACCACGACCCTGAGGCGCGCCTCACGGCGCTCTGCGTGCTCGAGCGACTTCGCGCCCTCCGGAGGCGCGAACGGGGAGAGCGCGCAGAGCGGGAAGACGGACGACTCGTCGACGAGGAAGCGCGGCCGCGTTGAAGGGCGTCGCCGTCACGGTCCCGGGAAGGCGGGGGCTCGTCATCATCGGCGGGAGACGTCCCGGGCTTTCCCCATACTTTCGACCGCGCGCTGGCACGAGTGACAACTCCTGCAGCCGGCCGCCAAAGCTGCCGCCGGGGGGCGTTCCGGTCTTGCTGACGGGCGTCCTTTGGACAGACGGAAGGAGGAGAAAAGCAACACGTTTGAAGGGGGATGAACCGAAATCAGCCGAAGGAACGAAAGAAAGAAAGAAGGATCAACACAGACAGGAGGGAAGGAAAAGAAGCGCGGATGTTGCCAACTTGGACGTTGACGAAAGAGAAGCAGGATGAGCGACGCAACATCAAGTCCACGCTGTTTATTTTCATGACATGAAGGCGACCCGGACATGAAAATGGGAGTCGCGCGTGGAGGCTTCCAACGGTTGCGGCTCAGAGGGACGACTTTTGCCTCGGTTTGCACCACCGGACCGCGAGACGGACGTGCTCAGCGGCCCGCCGCCGCGCCGCCCGCCCCGCCCCGATGAGCGATTCGCGAAGCGGGCCTCCAAAGCGCGGAAAAGGACGAGCCGGCCGGGCCGCAAAAGGCCCGGCGAGGTCGTCGCTCACTCCGGACTCCGGGAGCGAGCCGAAGAAGGGCGCTCCGAAGCCTCCCGGGCGGATCCGGGCGGCGCCCCCGCCTCGTCCTTGATCCACACGAAGCCCGCCTGGGTGCCAAATTCGGCTCCGTCCCGCACGTGCGAGAAGAAGTCTCGCGGGTGGCACGCCGTGCACGGCGCCACGCTGGAGTCGTCCTGGATGTGGTGCGGCGGGATGCCCGCCTCCTCCAGCTGCCGCCTGCCAAACGGGGGAGACGCCCGCTGAGTCCGAGAAGACGGGCGGGGAGAGGAGCGGGATGGGAAGGGGGAGGCGGAAGAAGAGCGCAGGAGAGGGAAACGGAGGACGGGAAAGGCGGGGAGCGAGGGCGCCACCTGTTGGCCAGTCGGAGGTCGACGTTGGGCCTGCGCCCCTGCGCCCGGCGCACGCAGTCCGGCCGGAAGCGGGCCGCCTGTTCCGGCTCCAGCGCGAAGCAGCACGGGCCCACCGAGGGCCCCAAGACCACCAGGATGTCGGCGCGAGCGCAGCCCAGCTCCGTCGTCATGGCCGCCACCGTCGCCGCCGCCACGCCCAGCAGCGTTCCCCTCCAGCCTAAAGAGGACGCTGAGCTTAGCTTGGTCGCCGTCCTCGGGCTCACCCGTCCATTGGCGCCGGCGCCGCAACTCCATTGATTTCGGCTCCTTCTGTGTTGGCTTCCTAGCGGGCGGGCAGCAATGACCGCGAGCAACGTCTCAGAGGACAATCGATCGGGCCGGCCCCCGACAGGGCTCCCGCGGCGGTGCTCGCTTCGCCCGAGGTGCGGCGGAAACGACGGCGAAGGCGTCGAAAGGCGCTTCCCCGCCCGCTTTCTCCGCATCTGCGTCGATGGGCTCTACCTGCGTGAGCGACGCCCACCGCTTTGGCCACGGGATCCGCAAAGAGCACGGGGACGCAGTCGGCGCCCGGCGCGGCCAGGACCCGGCCGGGCCGGTCCGTCACCGCCGCGTCGTAGCGCTCCGGCTCGGCTTTGCCCAACACCCACACGCGGCCGCGATGCTCCACCTGCGCCGCAACGGCCCACTTCCTGTCAGGGGCGAGGGGGGGAGGGCGGCACCGTCGGAGCCAAAGAACGCCGCTACTCACCTTGAGCATCTGGAGCGGGCGCGGGTAGAAGCCGGCGTGAAGCGCCAGACGGCGCCGGTTCTCCTGGACCAGGGCGGCGGAGTCTCGCCGGCGGGGGCTGCTGAACAGGTTCAACGAGGACAAGGCGGGCACGCGGGACACGCCGCCGCCGCGCGTGCTGAAGCCGTGGCCGAAGCACTCTGGCGACGCACGGGGGGGTCGAGAGCAGACGTCAACGCGGAGAGTCGTGGACGGCGAGTCCTTCTGTCCTTTCCGCGCGGCGCGGGTCCAGAAGGTCGGTCTTCCGTCGGGCGGCCGCGCGTCGGCGTGCCCGGCGTATCGACGCGAGTGATGCGAATGCCGGCCGACGTGAGGAAAGCGCGAAGGAAGCATTCCGGGCTGGGGATTGGGCGAGGCCCGGCCGGGAACGGCACTGGGCCCCGGGACCGCTTGAGGGCTCTAGCGAGGCTTCAAAACGTCGGACGAGGCGCTCAAAGCGTCACCGGCAATGGGCTCTCGTCTTCTTTTTGAGCGTGCTTCTCTGCGGGGCGCAGTCGGAGCGGCTGCTTGCGCGCTTGCCTCAACCGGGCGCCTCTTTCATGTTCGCCAGAGGCCGGCCAGATGGCCGGCGGCTTTTTCTTGATTTTTATATTTGCCGTTTCGTGGGAGGGAGACAAAAGAAATTTGAACACGGCACAAACTCGAGCAGACGATGTTGTTTTTTGCTCGGTTTTTGGCACTTATGCATTGGCCACGCCATGGCCGCCACACGTGCACGGCCAGTTTGAAAGCGGCGACCGCCAAATTGTCAAAGTTTGGAGCCAAGACATCCAACGACTGACTTCTTTTTGAACAACGTCTACAAAGCGTCGGCTGCTCCAACGCCGCCGGTTCCGCCGTCTGGCTGGCTCGAC